TATTCCTATAATAATTTTGAAAACATATTTGAATTTTGAATTTATTATGAAGTCTATTTTGAATCCTTCGAATCAAAAAAATAAAAATAAATTTTTAAAACTATTAATGACCATTTAAATTTTTAAGAATTCAAGAATTTTTAATAAATTTCAAATGAGGTTTTTTCTTTTTTAGAATAATAAATTAAAAATGTGGCTCAAAGGATCCAAAGTTGATAGAACAACAAAACAAAACATGTTTGCAAAATTATTATGTGTGTAAAACTCAAGTCGGTATGTTGGAATTCGTTTAGGCCTATACTATATGATTTACAACATTTTGCCATTAAATAAATTCGTTGTTAAGCATGAAGTGAAACGTGAATGCGAGTGCGCAACGCTTATCTAGCTTCTAGCTCGCCGTCAGATAATGCCATACGTCGGTTCTGGGAAATCACTCACACTAACGATATTTACCTACTACACGCTCACATCACGCCAAGCGGCAAGCACTCAAGTATTATACAGATTGTCTAAAAATAGCCTATAATCAACTCTTTAAAAACGGTCGGTATGGAATTCGTTTTAAATAATAGTAACTTAATAGATTATTGGGCCTTCCTCGAGGGTATTCATTATACCCGACCAGTTGAAACATTGTCCGTGTACTTAACTTTGATATGTTATTTTATTTATTGTGATTATTTATAGTTTATACTGTCTAATATTACTTGCAAATCAATTTTAGTTAACACTTTAAATAAAAAAGAAGCTAATTTTATGAAAGTATGATTTACATATTATATTCTACTACACAAAATTATTTATTTTCTTCTACTTCTTTTAGATATCTTCTTTAAAAGATAACAGACATTTAAACATCTTTTATGACAAAGGTTAAACTATAGGTTCTCTAATAAAATATTACTTTTGTATGTACTCTATACAGCGCAACAAMAGTTSTATACAATTAATTTTTAATTKTACGTACTTTTAAGTCAGACGACATAATTTTTGACTAAAAATGCATGCCTTCTCCCTGAATTTTCAATCTCTTTGGGGTAAAACGGACAAGTAGGTCGCATCGTATTGAAAACCAAAATCTCATTAAATTCATTACTATGATAATATGCATTATGCAACATGAAAATGATGTCAATGCCGTAGCAGGGGTCAAATCCCAAAGGGCGTTAATCGTTTCCGCTAAAAATCTTTTCGTTTGCGTCAAGTATCGTTTTCACCAAACAGAATAAGGTACGATTTTTGTTTCCGTCAAATTTGTCTCTACCTACCTGTATTGAATTATAGTTTGGGAACCATTTAGATATCCTGGATCCACTACGAGGAGGTGGGTCTCATTGATCCCCAAAATATTTTTTGACTTAATTTTATGTTAAAATTTTCAAAAATTTTAATTTGTGTTAAATTGAGTTGATTATAATCAAATTAATGTACTTAATGATAGGTATCATTGTATACAAAAAACGATTCTGAACGGAGAAGATTTGTCAGTCTAGGATAATATTTAATTTAAATATTGTCATACATTCTATTTTGAAACAAATATTTTATTTTTCAATTAGGACGCATTTTGCATAAAGCATCATGGTTAATCAATTTTTCCAAAAACATTGCATGTAGTTATCATCATTCATAATACCTTATATTATCATGCATATTAAACATATATGTACATATACCTGGTTTGAGGATAAATCGTTTTTCATAATCGCGATTTCATAAAAATTTAAACTCAAATGCTCAAAACATTTTTCCTATAATAACAATTCAAATTTTCTCTATAGCTATTTGAAGCAAAACTTATGGAAAACTTAGTGTT